CTCTTAGGTGTGGCTAGCACAGACCTTCCACCTTATATACGGGGTAAAGGGTGAGCATCTCACAGCCAGACACTGCTACCTGCTCTAGTGTATAGACCCTGTGTGTACAGCAGTGCTCCAGGCCACAGAGGGTGACATCTGAGGCTCTGTACATGCACCAAGGCATGCTCACACCCCACCACACACGGGTACACACCTGACATGCAGTTGCCCGACATGCTTCCTGGTAGACACTAAGATGTGTACACATAGTTCTGCTTCCCGTGACACAGGCACTCCAGCGACACTCACTCCCAAGCGTCCTGCGCTTCCTAAGCAGTTGTATGCCCGAGGAGCCTGTCCCCTGAAATGCTGGGGAGCACGAGGAAGCTTGTGCTTGCTGAGTGGGCAGTGGAGGGAGGACAGATGCACTTGCCCTCTTCCACCCTCACCATGTGCACCGCCCTGGTCTGGGTGGGTCACTGTGGGCTTGGTGGCAGCTGCCAGAGGCAGCAGGCTCGGGGAAGACTGCTGGCTCCACAGCCCCTGATTAGGATGTGTAAATGTTGGGGGAATGGGATGTGGGCAGACTGCAGCCTCCCTGGGTCTCTGGGGCTGCCCTGGCCATCCACTTCCTCCTCCAGCTGTGGACTGCTGTGACTGCCCCCAGGAGGGGGAGGTAGCTGGAGGCTCAGTGGTGGCTGAGCCTCCACCCCCCAGGAAACTCAAAACTCCGGGCCAGCCGCGGGTGGCGGGTTGGGGCAGGCACAAAGAGGGCCTCTGTGCAGCCGGCTGGGCTGCCCACAGGATTCTGGGGGAGGCGGCAGGAGCGGGTTTCCGTCCCGTTCTGCTTCCTGCGGAGGCTGCCGGAATGCCCGGAGCTCTGGCCCAGCTTGGCCTGTCCAGCCCACCCGCAGCCCCTTCCCGTCTTTTCCTGGGCCTTGGGGTACAGCTGCGGACTTCTCAGCAGTGGTAGCCTAGTGTGGTTTACCCAGAGCCTGAGTGCCACCCCAGAGACCCATGGGAAACTCGGGGCTCTCCCTAGCTGGGAGCTGAACTAAGCCTCGTCCTCCCACTGAAGTCCTTCTGTGTAACTTAGAGCCTTTGGCTGGTGTCAGAGAACCAGGCTCCACCACCTGTTGACCTTTTGTGATCTTAGGAAAGTGACATTACCTTCCTGAGCTTCAGTTCCTTCATCTGTAAAATGGGGATAATAATAAGGGGTTGTAGAGAGAAACCAGCAATAAAATGCATGGAAAATGCTTAGTACTGTGCTTGGCAGAGTGATGCCATTATTAGGTCCTGCTATTGTCATGTCCTCTGGGGAAATGAGTGGGAAGGGCTGGGCGCCCTTAGCCGCAGGAAGCTGTGTATCATCTGGGGTTCAGGCTCAACCCTGCTCAAAACCCTTCTCTTCAGAGCTGGGGATTTAGCTCAGTGGCACCGTGCCATCAAGGTCCTGAGTTCAATCCTCAGTGCAGCAGGGGGTGGGTGGCTTCAATATGCTTTCCTACCTGCAAACCATATCACTATTGCTTCAGACCTGGGAATTGCAGAGTGGGTGGAGAGTTGCTATTTGAAATCTCTTCTTTTCTGTTTCTGACATCTGCCCCATAGTCCCTGAAGTTTGGGATGAGGAACAAGAACCACTCTCCATTTTACAGATGGGAAACTATGGCTTGGTGGGAGAAAAGGACTTGGTTAAAGTCTACAGCCAGCAAGGAAAGGGCAGAACCACAAACAGACCCTAGGACTCCAGTTCCCAGCCACTCTTGTTGATGTGTGTTGTCACCCCCACAGGTTCCCCACCCAGGAGCCCTGGAAGGTTGAAGCCCTCTCGAATTCCTTCCCTGGCTTATCCTACAGTGAGCCACCAGGAGGGAAGCCCTAAGAGAGATAATGGGCTCTGATCTCAGGATAGGTGCCAGCCCAGACATCACTACTTTGGGAAATGTTTAATCCAAGATCCTGGGGGACCCCGGAGGTCAGGAGGACATTGTTTTCTCTACATCCTAACTGCTTATCAAATTACCTTCTGTAAGCTGGGCATGGTGGGTGGCACATGCTTATAATCTGTTACTTGGGAGGCTGAGGCAGGAAGATCATGAGCCTGGGCTACATAGTGAGACCCTGTCTCAAAAATAAATAAACAACACATAAAAGGACTGAGGATATAGCCTAGTGACAGAGCACTTGCCTAGCATACATGAGGCCCAGAGTTCAATCCCAAGCACCACCCAAAAACCTGTTCTATATAGGGTACCCGCACTTCCCTTTGGACTAGGGTTTTAGCAGCATGTAGAATCTGGCATAGAGGAAGGCTCCATAAACTGTGATTCTGTGGTTGGTCCCATGTAACATATGGGGAAATGGACTCCAAGACCATATCCCAAAGGCCTTCCTGACCCCCGCCCCTTTTCTTCTTTGGTACTAGGGATTGAATTTGCGCTTGTGAAACAGGCAGCAGCATCATTGAGCTAAATCCCTGGCCCCTTCCTGACCCTTTGCACCTTCAGGGAAAAGGCCTGGCTGAAGGAAGTATCTCCTGAGGAAAGCCCTGTCTGTCAGGTTTCCTTGCCTCATTCCCAGGAGCCTGGGTTGAGCAGACCTTTTCCCTGGGGCCTCAGTGAATGGGCTGACCTGCTGCTCTGGGGAGCTCTGTAGAGAGAATGGAGCCCATACACACAGGTGGCTTTCTAGAAATCTAGCAGCATGTTTCAGGCCAAGGGGAGGTGCCTGCCCTGGGAGGAGGGATACAGGAGGATCAGGGAAGAATGAATCCAGTGCCCCCACTTTTTTTTTTTTTTTTTTTTTC